TCCAGTTTACAATCTTTCACATGCAATTCCTATTTCGACGGCTTTTTTTTTTCATTACCAGTTCGCTCTACATCTCTTCGCAGTTATCCAGAAAATCGTTTGAAACGTTATTTATCAACTATTCTTCTTTGGATTTTCGTTGCCAAGTTTAATTATCTTTGTCGTGTTTTTTTTTTGCTTCACGCATTATTTCGGAAAGTCAACTTGGACTCAAATCGGAAGACATGGATGTCGCGCTTTTGCTTCATCAAATTGTCTCAGAAAGCCTATGCAACTATTTAATTCCCCCTCGTGCAAAAAATTAAACAAATAATCAAGAACTGTCATTACTCAGGCAAATTTTCGTATATAGTTTTCAATGGTGTCAACCGATCTGCCAATGCAATCGCACATTCTCTCGTGTTCTTGAGCATTTTGCAACATACACGAAAAATAAAAAATTAATTTTTTACATACTCTCAATATTTTTTATTCTCCATTCTTCATTTTTTCAACTTCTCAATCACTCGCCGTTTCTCCCTCGTGAATTTTCCTCATGAGAACTGTAACGTCATTCCTCTAATCGGGAGGACAAAAAAATTGGAGATTGATGGGAGATTATTAGAGATATTAGTCATACCGAAGTCAAAATACATCTAATTTATACAAATGAAATTTCTCGAAGAAATTCTCTGCAATTAATTCGCACGAATTTCTTCGGACAGATCGAATTTCCTGTCCCGTAAAACGGAAGAGGAATTTTCATTTTTTTCTACAATCTCAAGAAAATAACTATTACCAATTGTAATTGAGATTTATCATTAATCTACGTCGACGACAGTGCGGGATTGAAACAAAAATTTACTTTCAAATCAGTGAAAATTCCAATTTTTTTCTCCACGTACCGATCTACGTGGAATAGGTGAAAAACGGGGGCTATTAATAATTCTAACTGCAATTAATCTGTGAGAATTATCAATGGTCACACATAATATCCATACGTTATACCCGATCAACATACATGTATATGCATATGGAAGTCGATACAGTTGTGATTTCCTTCGCACTGTACCTGTACCCTCTCCCAAGATAACCTACTCTAACTTATCTAAGCTAATATAATTGCCGTGGGCTCATGCTATCTCACTCCGCACACATAGTAAAATAGAAAAATTGTCAATAATAGACAGGAGCGCGATTAAACGCGCCATCTTATTTAATTATCGACTGTACATTCAATTACGCTGGACCAGTCGTTCATTTCCGTGAATTTCCCAGTTGAAGAATAATCAAACGATATCGATAATTCATTGTTACTTGTAATCAATCGATTTTTAGGTTTGATTAAGTGTCTGAGGGAAATACAGAGTGTTCGTCACACAAAATTTACGATTGTTACACGACTTAAAAGCATTTGCTCCCTCATTAACCAAAAGCACACCGGGGTGGCTAGAAACGAAGATACTAGTTGAGTAAGTGAAGGTAATTAGTGATTTACATCATCACGTGTTCCTCATTTACTTCGGTATTTTTCATTGGTCTGGCGCACAATAATTCATTGATTGTACGGCTTATTATCGATAGAAATCTGCATTTTTGTGACCAAAGAGAGAGAAAGATGATCCATTTTATGTGAGTATTGCATATTTTTATGACTCCAAGTGCTGTCCAATTGTTATTAACTATAATTGTCATTAATAACTGAAAGATATAAATACAACTCAGTCGATAGATAGTTAGAAAAAAAATTTATTTTCCTGGGCAATTTTCGGTTTGAGATACTTTTTCTTGAATATGGAATTTCGACTTGAATCAAGTTCAACTCAAGACTTAGACTTGTACTTTGACTCGACTTGACTCAGACCCGAAATTGATTTGAATCGAAAATTTTTCGGTGAGTTTCAGTGCGAGACTTTTTTCGCTGACGAGTGATTTTGATTTAGTTGGCATTAGAGCAATGGCCGATTGGGAACCTCTGCAGTGGTTGAATAGGGGGTGGGTGGTGGGTGGTTAGGGCGTCGCCGCGTCTCGGGCGCGCCACGACCCCCACGAGCTATCGACCGAAACCGGTGAGAGAGACGATATATACGGGGTTTGCGAATGGAATGAAAAACCAAGGAGAAAATTAGGGGAATGAGAACCACTCACTAGTGAACTCGCCCGTCTTTTTGGAGATTAAAAAAGTCGAGATTTCCATGGGTAATTGAGTATTTAATAAAACGAGTGCCCAATTAAATAAAATTATCCCGCAATCGTCAGTTCTAGGTTTCATCCACTGAAATTTTTTTAATCCAGTCAGCTTTCTGTAACTATTGTCATTTAATTTTCCGTATTGTCGGGTTGAATTTAATTTGTCATTAGATTTAAAAAATGCTCTTGCAATTTTTTATTCATCATGAAAATTCGATAAGTCAAGATTCTTAAGGGGGATTCTTAAATTATTGATACTTCAAGGACATCTTGAATTTGAGATCTTGTTATGAAAAGTGATCGTTAAAATTATCCCGTCGAATTTTCAAGAGGAAAAAGAAATTCCGCGAACGATCTGATCTTAAATTGAATACAAATCGTGGAATTCAAAACTGACACTAAAATCTAAAATAAATTAATAATAAAAATATCATTTAACGCATGTAGAGTTCTGCCCAGTGAAAAAGGTCGTCTTATTTTCAGGAAAAGTCACTTGATTCTTGAATTATATGTTAATGAAGCCTAATGAGCACAAAATGCCGGGGGTAAGTAACTTTTTCACTAACTCTCAAGATATTTCTCGCTGTGAAGGAAGAATAACTCTCAACCTCAGTAATTGATGGACTGAATTTAATTGACAATTGAGAGCTGCTGTTTCTAATTGCTCTTATATATTTTAAATTCACATTCGCAAATTGAAATCATTCAAGCGGACGCGTCGACGACATGTCAATGGGGGAGAAGAATTTAATATATCAAATATAATTCACCCCGGGGTTCCTCTCCTTGCGAGAATAAAATATCTCCTCAGAAGGTATTTCTCCTGTTTAAACAATTAAATAATTATATAATACCAGTCTTTGCTGGAAGTCGTCCCTTTATTATTTTCCCGACTCATTCAAATAATTATTAGTTCATCCAAGGGCGTTTATAATAATGATAATAATAATAATAATAATAATAATAATAATAATGATTGAAGATAATTCTCATGGACGAAATAGAATTTGGTGTTTCTGGAAGTGATTCGACCCGAGAGATCCTCCAAAGATAAGATATTTTATTCTGATAAGGATATGTGGAATTATAAATAATATGATATTGTCGGTGGAAATATATATTTTTTTCCGAGGGTATAAGCGGTATATCGATTGGCTGCAGGAAGGGAGCGCGTAATCGAGGCGAACATCGAGGGCTAGAGCAAAGGCAAAAGGGATGAACGACAGAGGGCGCACCGAGAAGGGTTGGTCACGGGGGGATAGTACAGCTACACGTACATAGTACATACACAATTGTCAAGTGGTGAATACAAATTCACCACTACATCGTCATCTCCCGTTGCCGCCCCAACGGCCCCCAACGGCATCGACCGCAGCCCCAACGCTGCAATGCGACGTTGCCATCCCAACAGGCAACAGCCTTTTCCAGATTCCATTCCACCATCTACTTTTCACCCCATCCTACACTTGTATTTTACCCCTATTTTTCATTATTTGCCGATCCTTCCAGCGACTTGAGAAGGTTAACTACTTTGAGCATATAACCTTGGAATATTCCCTTAATTCGGGACTCCAGTCATTCTCATTTTCTTCATTCGAATTTCAATGCAACTGTCTGGAATCTATTAATTAATCGATTTTCCACCATTTTTTATGATTTGCTAATGTTGTTCGTTATTTGAGAGGGTTATCTATTTTCAGTGAAAATATAAAAAATTTCATTGGAATATTCTCTTCATTCGGAATTCAAGTCATTCCCGTTTTCTTTATTCGAATCTTGATGCAGGTGCCAGAATTTATTAATTAATTGAATTAATGGATTTTCCTCGAATTTTTTTTTAGGATTTACTAATCCTGTTGGTCTTTTGAGAGTCAACTACTTTGAACCCAAACATGAAAAAGAATGAAATCTCCTCAATTGTCATGGAATGAAAAATTCAAGGCTTTTGCACCCCTGAAATTTCAGTGAAAATTGGCAAACTGCAGACGAAGCGAGACCAAGACGAAATATCAGAGTTGTCCGATATCCTTAATAACAAAATGTCCAAACATAAGTGTCAGAGAATAAAAAAAGAGTGTCGAGTTTTCAATGTAAATTACATAACTTTTTATTCAATAATCTGAATGTATATAGATATTTCAGTGTATCAGTGTAGATGTATCATGTATTTTGTCAATAGTTCTTCTTTTTTCTCTACTAAAATAGTACTTGGTAAGACTTTCGTAAAAATACTTATGCTAGATAATATTGATGTACGTTATCTTACGAAATTTTTTAAATCGACGAGTGAGTACAATTTTATTATTTTCCCAGCATCGAAGTGGATTGCAACGTTTCAATTTAAGTCTTTTGGGTTAAGCATTTGTTCGGAATGTTCTCAAAGTCTCAGGATAATCCAGAGTTTTGAATTCAGGCGAAGGTTGAGAAGCGAGACGCTCGCTGAAAAAAAAAAATGAAGAAGAAAAAAAAAAGAAAAAATGGAAAATACAGGGAGAGGAAAGAAATGTAAATAAAAAAACAAAAGTGCTCTCATTTGAATCATATTATATATTAAAATATTCATAATAATATAATACTAATAATAATATATTATCGTGTTCGTAAAATTACATAAAAAAATATAGAAAATAATAAACTTGTAGCTATTTCTTCGTATTAATTATTTCTTTTTAGCTTTTCTCATTATTTCATTTTTTGTCTCTTTCATGCACTCGAAAATAATTTTTTCTCTCACTCGTTCGTGGCATTTGTAGTTTCTTCCATTTTATGCGTACTTTAATAATAGTAATTAATAATTGTATTTAAATCGCGTGCCCTAGCATATATCATTATTTGTCTTTGCTGCGGGTAATTTATATTTGCATTTACACTATTTCTTTTCGCTGTCTCATTCCATTCACCATTTAATCCTTTACTCAATTTATCTTTCACGAGAGCAGAAAAGTCTTTTTTTCTCAATGACTGTCGAATAATGCCCAAAAATAAATACTCAAGATTCTCTCCTCAATATATTCATTTCTCTCATGATTTTTGTCCATTTATTTTATTTTACGGGAAGATAATGTATTGTAAATGCAAAACACGTGTCAGTCAATAGCGTCTGGCAGATTTTGAATTGAAAAATCATAAAATCTGAACAAAATAAAAAAAAAAAATATAAAAAAAATAATATATCTCTCAACTGAATAAGGCAAGATGCCCGCAGAAAAGAGAAAATAATAATGAAAACCAGGAGAAAGGGGTGAAAATAATAATAAACACAAACGAAGGAAAAGAAGATATAAATCCTCAGACCCAAATTCAACCTTTCCATTTGCAAAACTAGGATTCCTCATAAAAAATAATAATAATAAATAACATCACGCGATTAGGCGAACACTGGGCTCGTGTCCCACTCTCCGACATCACTCTTTATTATAATTCGCTTATTTCCTTCAACCTCACTCCCTCTATTATCTCGCCCTCACTATTTTTTATTTATTTTTTTTTTCACTATCTCACACTCTCTCGCTAGAGGGAAAGAAAAACTTGCGAGAGGAACAGAATACTTAGATGATTATGATGACGAGTTGATTTGTGGCGGTTGATAAATTATATACAAACACAAAAACACAAAACAGAACGGCACTTACTCAAGCAAAATGAACGACGATGATGAAGTCCCATAATCCACTCCGAAAAAAAAAATCATCAAAAATTAATGAATCATGATTTAATACCAATTAATAATCCCAAATAATCCCCATCATCGCTGTTCATTCCACCAAAATCGAAGCACAGCAAAATAATAATTAACCTATCAATAGTGATAATAATAAGTGTGATGATGAAAATTGTCGAAATATAAAATATCTCCACTACATATATTAATAATCGTGTTTACCATATTTATCTCATCAAATATTTTCACACGCATTATGCTCTTTCTCTCTCTTTATCATCATCTAGTCATTAAAATGTCTCTTTGTATCAGTTTCACCGTATACCCCTCATGATGCTGGTGTTCCTCGAAACGCAAAAAAATGAAAACTACGCACAACATTCAATATATAATAATCATAATATAATAATGAATAATTTATAATTCGTAATCAATCGTAATATGACAACTATAATAATGCCTGTCGTGGGGCATCTACATGTCGACACACACACATTTTAGGGAATTTTTCGAAAAACGATAAAAGGTTCATGGTCTCAACGTAGATTCTCACACGAATTGATTTTTCATAAATATCCATCATCGAATGGCGTCTGAAGGTGGGAAAAATTAAAAAATCATAATGTTTCTATAATGAAAAACTATTCTTTCTTCCATTTTCCCATCGTTTTTACTCTCACCAATGTCATATCGATTTCATATCGAGATAATTTTTCCTAATACCCAAATAACGTGTCTCAACACGCGCACCATTGTTAAATCATCTTAGTTTTTTTTTTGTATAATTTTAGTTAATTAATCACCATTAGATGTATTTGAATTGAAATAAAAGTGTCTCCCCCTCGATCTGCCTTGTAATATCGTTTCCTTAAATTACGATTGTATTATTACATCTTGGAAATACTGCTTTTTCTATGTTCAATTGATTTTCTTTTAATTATTTAATTTGTTCATTTTGTCGAACGGTTGCCTCAATAATTCGACTCGTGCATTCACGGCGATTTATCGTTCATTCATTGAATAATTTCACTCGTCATCAGCATCCTGCATTGATTACCTTTCATTCGAGAGAAAAAAAAAATCACACATTCAGAAAGAACGGAAAACTAACGATTAAATAAACTGTTATCGAGATAGAGAAAGAAACAGCGCACTTAATGAAGATAATCAGTGTTAATAGTGAAATAAAACCCATTAGAAAACGCAAGTTATTTTAATAATGAGGAAAAAAAAATATATATCTGAGATCGAGTTTGTGGGCTGAAAGCTGCGCGTTAAATCTTTTGTTTATTCTTTTTTAGTAAAAATAAATGCGAGTTAAATAATTCAGCGACTGCTAATGCAAACAGCTATTGACTAAATATTAACCTGATATCGTACAGATAATGATAATGCCGGTCAGAGGAAAAATAAAAAATTAAAATCAATTAAATACGGTTAAGATATGCCGATAGACTACATGAACTCTGCGCAATTAGTTCTATGACTTCGAGACCTGCTAATGAACCTGATAATTAAGTAGGGAATAAGTAAGCAATTACGATTACTGTACGATCTCCTCGGCAAATCATTCCTCTGGCTCATTTTTCTTTATTCTCAAATGAAAAATTAGACAAACATGATAATTGAAATGGAAAATAGAAAATGGCGATTGTGTCTCGCGAATTGATGAGTGACGGATCTTTTTCCAGTTTTTAGATTTAATTTTCAGTGCGGGTGGCGGGACAATTTGAGCATTATCTGAGGGAATATATTTCCGTACTTGTCTCGTTACCAGCAATCGCGTTTGAATGATCACTAAATCGAGGAAATATCGGGAAATATCAAAAATATCCGAAAGGGCACACCAAATCTCCAATATCAATATTCACCCGTTAAAAAACAACAGTGAATTTACTTTGACAGTGTTTTATCATTAAAAATTGTTGATGGATCGTTTGAAAAATATGAATAACCACGGATGAGAAAAATAAAATATTTATTTCATGAAAGATCATCAATTAGCCATTCCACGAAGTCCTTTACGAGAATAAAGCAAAAAAGGCGTCAAGCAAATTTACGACACTTCATTAAATGTTTCATTAAATAATCATAATAGCGATAATAGCAATGATAATAATGATAATGAATAATAGTAATAATAATATACCGCAATTATACGAACATTCATAATAATACATAACATATCTCGTAAATAGAATATGACAATATAGTAAAGACAAGTTAAATTAAGCAACAATCATCAATTTTTTTTTTCTCATTTTTCACTTTTTGTTTCCTCTATATATATTTGTTTCTCTTTACGATAAAATCATATACGTTATACTTTTTTTAGGTTTTTCTTTTCACTCTTCATTTGACCTATTACTAGTTTATCCTTATGTTTAATTATTATTCTTTGAGATATGTATCGTCATGTTCGCGTTCACTAAAACCTCATCATTTTTTTTTTCTTTTATTATCATCATATATGTTTTAATCAATGTCTTATCGTACTCAGGGGAGATGGGGCAGCAATTAATGTGAAATAACTGAGGGTAAATGTTCCATTACGAAAAATCACGCGCCGATAATAATTGCGCCTACAGCCACTAGTGAACATTAAACTTCAATCAGCCCCATAACCCCGTGAGAAATCTTGCCAAAATATCACACCAAATCAGAATTATCGCACGTTTAGTCTTGTCATCATTTTCTATTTTGAGAAAAAATCCTACATCTTTATTCTTGGCATATTTATTTACTCATTACGTTTTTTTTTTTGCTTTTAAGTTTCCCTTTTTTTACGAAAAAATGGCAGTTATCGGTCACAGCCAATGGCTATATATTCATTACGTTTAATGCCTTAATACCATTACGTTCCTATTGTTTCTCTCGTTTAGATAATTAAGTTAATCTCATGTTAATATTAATATCCTCAGAAACGTGTCGAGAAGGATCTCACGAACTTGCAATGTAACCTCTCACGTTCTCACTGATTTACATTATTTGTTACTAGATATTTTAATATGAAGATTATTGCAAATTTCTCAATATTAATTATGTTGATTGAATTTTGTGGATTATCACAAAAACACGTATGGAAGTCATCTTCGAAATATTTGAGGATCGATTTTCTATGACACGTGACTGTGAAGGTGAAAAATTATGAAAAGTAATGAGCAACGAGCGGTGTTTTGATGTCAGAACCTCGGCCAAAGTGAAGGTACCTCCCCCCCTGATTAGCTTTGATTACCCTCCCCCCCCAAAAAAAAAATTTTTAATCAAAAAATCAAAGCCGATAAATCTTCTAGGTCTAGCGGAGGTTCTCGACAACATTATTTCGTAGTCAATTAAGTTATCCAAGATTAAGTTGTTTCTCCTCTAAAATAATAGTTAAAAGAAAAACCCCCAAAATTAATAGAAAAACCAATAACTCCATTCATTCGTCACTCCAGACTTTCAAATTGCACACTGAAACACATGAGTCTGAAATTCGGCAACCGCCCACAAAAGTTTTAAACTCCATACGAGACTCAGCCGTGCTGTTCTGCTCGAATAAATTCACCCCAACTGGTACCCAACTACCTTTACAATTGAAAAATATAAAATGATTATTATGACGAAGAGAAAATAATAATAATAATAATAATAAAATAAGCATCGAACGAAGAAAAGATTTCTGCGCGCCGTAGAATATATAGTTATAAAGATAATTAGCTTTTCTTTCTTAATTTATATATATTTAATATATTAATAATCTTATATGTATATGTATTGAGAATTTTTCATCATCCTTTACCACTTCACTCTTATCTAATAAAAAATCCGCACTCAAGATCGCCCTGCAAAACCACCCTGCCGGAGATAAAATGCATTAATTGGCGTCTCGCTCTATTTCCCTCCCCTCCCCCTGCCCCAATCAAATATTTTCAATTATAATATATTCTCATTAATCTTCCTCTTTGCAATCAGACTTATGTTGAAGTGAATGACATTATCCGTATCCCTTATCTCTGCGTAATCTACAATATCTTAAACACCCCAATTACATGTCACCTATGTTTCCATCAGAGAATAGTTGTTCAATGTTAATGCTCACCGACAAATACCTATAAATATATATATATGTATGCATGTACGTCATCACCATGTCCCTTAATTCTTGTTCGTCAGCATCTACTTCACTCTCATCATTAAACTTTTATACGTAACATAGAAAAAATATAGAATTCTTGCCGTTGAACTGAAAATATATAATAAATCTTCCACCAAATGGTGCTGTGTAGTTTTTTTTTTTCTTCTCTCGTCTCTCATTTTTCTGTCACAATGTTATAATACAATAGAGTGCGGTCGAATGCGATTTTTCACGCGTTTGCTATCGCTGAGAACTCAAATTTGTAATTATTCGAATATTTTATTGTTTTATTAAAGTTCCCGTCCGTATCTGTCACGATTCATCAATTATATCAATATTATTTTCGTCGTTTGAAGGAAATAAAAAAAAATTTTATAAATATCTAGAAAATCTAAATGAGGAGATAATTTTATCTTTTTTCGCTCATATCGCGCACAAGAGATTCTACATCTACTGGAGAATGCATTGTAACTGAAATAATAAAAATCACGAAAGACGAATGCAACTCTTCGTATCTCCTCGCACCGGTGGGTCTTGAACGTTCATTCAAACCTAATATTTTGAGCACATAAGTGTTAAACCCTCGAGCCTGCTGTCGCTCGAGTCATGACTTGAAAATTCATCTATATGGCAATGATTGACAAGATAATACAGAGAAATCTCGAAACAATACAGTGGCGCCACCACGACACGAAACTCATGTGGGCCGTTCGAAAATTTATTCGACATAACCAAAAAAAAAGCAAAAATGGAATAATAAGTCCGACGAATTTCTTCAGACTGGGATTCTTACCCTAATCTACATTCCCCGTAATTCTTGTCTCTCATATAATATTCCTCTAATATAGATATATATTTATAGATATTTCATAATATAATACGTCTCTGGAAATAAAAGCTACATGCGCCCTCGAAGGTCTTCTACTCGAAAAGTGCGTCTTATTTCTCATCTTTCTACCATTACTTACAATCTGATTACTGCTAGTTGATGATTACACTCAAGGGAGAACACGGCGCGAGGAGACGAGCTTCAACAGGAGATGTGCACACGATTTTAATGAGTTCATTTTTTTTTTGTATTTCCTTATCAATATATTTTGTTTAAATTACGGAGAGTCGGGAGAAACACCTCTACCCAGAAAATCACCGCCACAACCCCGCAATCTACCTCGCTTCTACATTATTATTTTTTATCATTTTTTCCATGATTTTTTAAACTTTTTTTTGTCATTTTGTCATTTTTTTTTTCTTTACATTTTGTTCCTCGTTTAAATATAATCCGACGATCTCGAACTTCCGCCAGTCATCCCGTCGGCGAAACGCGCGAAAATACAAAATCTAAATTCTCGATAAAATATTCATATATATATATATTTATGTTTATAATTTTTTTATATAATATATATTATTATTTCAATTGCTATGTTGCTTATATAAAGATAAAGATAATACTCTAAGCGAGGGATGGCGGGTGGAAGAAGTTGAGCCGCTTGAGCTATTCGTTCTTTTTTTATATTTAATATATTGTTATAACCCCCCCTCCCCCTCCCCTCCACTTCCCAGGATGATACCCACGGGGTTGCGGTGTCTAAAATCCTTCAAACCCTTGAATTTCCTCCTTGTTTCATTTATTTTTTATCATTTTCTTTTTTTTTTTTTGGTTCTACTCAATTGGAATTCTCTTAAAATCTTCTTTGTTATGAAACTGGCAAATGGCCCTTGCAAGTCGCAGATCTACAGCTACGGAATATTAATCGATTCGTTGTATCCGGTCGACGCGGGAAATGAGCGAACGCATTGAAATTCCCCGGGTTTCCATAGAGTTGAAATTTTTTTTTTTCTCTCTTTTAAATAACTCGCTCTACATCCTCACAATAATTATCATCATTAAGACTTATTGGCAGCAGCAGTGTGGAATTGAAAATCTTGTGCGCGTCTTCCCAGACTCTTTTAGGGTCCCTCGAATGAGCCTTCCACCTCAATCTCGATGGTCTCCAAATCGTTCGAAAAAAAAAGCTCTTCGATTGAAATAAAAATGAAAACGGCTCAATTGAAAAATAATGTGAAAAAATATAACGACGAGAAAAAGATTAAATCATGGTATCAAATAAAACAAAGTCCATGGATCATCGATAAAACATTGTGACTCTGTTTAAGAGAGAATTCGGAGTGCCTGTAGTACAGGCCTGGAGCACACTGGACAACTGGGATCAGAGCTCTCGCAAACTCTATTACCACAGTCGAGACAGAAGAGATTGTGTCCACATGGTACAAGTGCTGCTGTTACCTCCTTGTCACCACAAACGACGCACTCGCGTCTACCACCAGCGCTACCACTACCAAGAAGAGAATCCGTTGGGCTAGCTGGACTAGCTGATGCTGGTGGCGATGGCCTTGATGGAAGTGCAACACCAGGAAATGACCATATTGATGATGCTGATGCTGCCTGTGACTCGAATGAGGGTGATTCACCGAGTCCCTCATCACGCTCCAATCCAGCACCCCAAATAGCCACTAAATCGTTGAGACCTGGTGCACCTGAGCTGCTTGATGAACTGCTGCAGCTACCACTACTCGAGAATGCACCGCTGCTTGAGCCATTTGAGCCATTTGATCCTGGTGGATCGAGACTACCGAGAATAGAGCCCAAACCACCTCGACAAAGTGCACCCAGAAGATCAACCTCTTCACCAACCATACCAGGACCAGCTGTTGTACCAGTTCTCAGTGCAATGTGCGCTTCAATTTCACGTTTAGCTGCCTCAACGCTCTCTGGTAATCCAGTCACCTCGAACACTGGCTCCTTATCACGCGATGGTGTTACAATGTACGTGTGCGTCTGATGCTGAATTCTTTTGATCGTTGCGCCCTTTGGACCAACAACAAGACCAACAACTCTGTATGGCACTCGTACCTGAATTGTAACGTGTCCTGGAACTGATGCTGGTGGTCCTGGTGGTGTACCAAGCAGTGCACCTAGAGAACTCTTGCGTGATGCACGAATTTGGGAGAAGTGCTCGGCTGCTGATAATATTTCACGCTTGGCACGTGCAACATCCTCTTTTCGTCCAGTTACTACGAACACTGGCTCTTCACCACGCACAGGTGTCTTTATGTAGGTATTTGTCTTGGCACGGAGTGCCTTTATCTTACAACCTGCAATCAGAAAAATAAAAACCGAGACATTATCATCAAGCTCTGGGGGGAGGGGTGAAGTTTATTTTATTTGGGCACTTGCAACATTGCATTTTTATTCAATTGCATTTTCGCGGATTTTTTTTATCGAGTTGAATAAAAATTCGGCAACAATAAATTTTTTTATTGTGATTATTATTCAAGTATGAGTATTGGTTGTATCATTGAGGAAAGGGGAGAAGAATGTCTCGGCAAGTCTGCAATTTTTGCTCTACCTCCCCACCACCCCATCCCAGGTCTCACAGACTCTCTGGCCTTGAGTCGCCGGGCGCAATGCTAGCAATGCAGGTGAACCACTCCTGGTACCTTCTTTCTCCAACATTCGCATTATTTCCCATCGTGTGCGCGCGCCATCACGTGTCTCACTCTAAACGCATTTATCTCCCTCTCTCTCCCATCCACGCCCGTGCGATTTCTTCAGCATTTTTTTAACATTCATCCAGAGTTCTCTTTCACAGATAACCGAGAGGGGAATGCCGATGGGATTTTTTTTACTTCTCCATCATCTCTACCTGATTTTCTTACAATTCTTTGTATTCTGGGGGCTAGCAATACCCTAGGCCCGCGTGAAAGTTAACTACGGAGATGAGGTATCCTTGATCCTTTTGGTGGATCCAATGTCGAGGGCGAGGACGATTTCGATATTGTCTCTGAATGAACAATCGCAATTGCAACAGGCAGTTGGATATTTAAAAAAAAAATTCATGTAAACCAAAAAAAAATATAACAAGTCATGGTTTAGACAGAATTCTAAGAAACTCTCGAGTTTTTAGTGTGCGCCGTAGTAATTGTCAAAATATTTGAAAAGTAAATTTTTATGCAATTGGTGCTTGCAGTATGCCGAATCGATGGATGAAAAAATGGCAGGTGAACCCATACTGTTCCCGTTCGGTATCTACGAGTGCAGCATGACGTTCGCAGAAAGCTGGGGATAGAGAGGTGAAAATGAGAGGATGGAGGAAAGAGAGAGGCAGTAAACCGGGGAGGGCAAGCAGCGACGACAGGAGGATAAAAAGAGAGGGAAGAAGGGGGTGAAGAAGGAAGGGGGCGTGGGTCGTAGACAGTTGAAGGGCCGCGACCAAGGTGAGGCGAACGAACGGGAGGAGAAAAAGGCATCGAGACGATTCGCCTTTGTCCGAGCTTCTCGAAAAACCAAGGAGGTCTTCTTGCGTACCATCATCGTCCCATCACTCCCACACTCGTCAATCCGACGATAGTCGTGCATACCAAAACAAAAGTACTCATTAAACATTTTTCACTTGCTCAAAATTCATATTCACCTTCATCCAAATCCATTTTCCACTTCAGTCAAGTGAATTTCCAACTTGATTCAAATAGAGTCACTCGGACGTGAAATCGAATCGAGTAAAATAATCGATTTGAATGAGGCCGAGAGATAAAACTGAGAAAACGCGTATGAGTATCGTTATTCCGATAAGCATCTCCGGACTTGACTGAGGACTATTTTTTTTTTCTGAATATATTCACCAAGTTGATGACTCTGAATATGAAATTCATGACGATATGCCTCAACGATTCTCTCCGAAAGTCCTCCCTAACAATGAAATGCTCGTCCATTCAACCAGAGAGCAGCGAAAACACTAACAAATGAATGGAAAAAAAAAGGCAGTGGGGGAGGCGATTGGGTGTTTCAGGCACGGGTCGCACGAGCCGACGACGCGAGTGGAAGATTCTCAGGCAGGTCAGTGAAACTGCGCCGTCAAGTTGAAGGCCAACACCCCCACAATGCAACGCGCTCGCGAGAGAGAGAGAGAGAATACCGCGACAGAAAACCGATGCATTTGTGTGTACGTGCGCCTCCCCACTATTGCACTAGCCACCAATCCTATTACCACTCGACAGAGAGAACCGGAGAGAAGAGGAGAGAGATCATCTGAGGAAACTCACCAGTCAAGCACGATAAAGTCGATGCCACCGACGCAAATGACAGCACTACTCCCTGTGTTAACGACCGCGCGTCATCTCGTGCATTGTATTTCCAAAATTTTCTATGTTGGTCAAAAAGCCAAGAATCTATCTATCACGGGACATCTATCTATCTTTCACAAGTCCTTCGAGCCCTCAAAGTATCAAGTTAAGACCTTCTAATGTTATCTCAAGTCTACTTGGGTCTATGAAGGGGTGGATGGGTGTGCACTTGAAATTTGAGAATACAATCTTTTGAGACTGTAACGTTTTAGTTGACTTTTAATAGTAACTTGACTCGTCAACTTGAGACTTCAAGAAGTCTTAACTTGAAATTTCGATAAATCATTCAAATCGAGTCTTTCAGAAGAGACTCCTGAATCACGATTTGAGTTCGGAGTCTCGAATCAGGACTTATAAAAGTCGCAACCCCCATGGGTCGATTAATCATCGTCAAGTCGAGACTTTAAAGTTACCCTGCAACCTTACAAAAATCTCAAAATAAATATGCCCATTTGACCGGTTGAGTTTTCCAGATACTGAAGGTGACTTTACCCCAGCGATATCGGTCGAAAGCACGCGATATAACCGAGCTATAATCCACGTATATAATATGGCCATCCGATCGATTTCCGTGACCTCGCCAAGAAGGCGACGACCGCAGAGACCTCCGGGAATCTCGTTTCTACGCTCATGCTATATGCACTAAATATATTATAGCACATATATATGGATGCTCTATATTCATTAGTGAACCGGGTGAAAAATTAACGGAGGAATAGTGCGGGATATACTTGAAGTGATGCAGGACGTTGAATACCCGTTTCGGTGGGACATAACTGATATCGATAGAGGGAATAAAAAAGAATCCTCCACCGGAGGAGAGGAATTCCTCCGCAAATAGATCGATGACACTTGCATCAGGCCTGTTGGAGTTCTCTCAGGCAATCTTGGTCGCAAGTGCCACGCATCTCGGACTATTCTGCATCTTTCTCTCTTACATATCTCCTTGTCTCATTCCCTTCAAGTCTTGGGGTGTCTCTGAAATAACCGAGGCGCGCAGTATAAGGTGCAATGGACGGGCATGCACGCCAAGTTGTAGTGCTTCGCACAAGTTTCATCTCTTTCTTTCACGTACCCGACGACTTCACCCAATGGCAGTGGGGGTCACACTATATTAAGATTGAACTCCACTGACACCAAGAGGGACAGTGCCTACAACTCAGAGATATTTCGACAGCCAGCTAAATGTGGAGAATTGTATCGAAATGAATAGTCAGGCATCATTGGAGCTCTTGTCGACCATATTCAACAATTTTGTGTCAACCGGGGGGGTCATTCTTACTATATTAAGATTCAGCCACTACTATTTATTCGCTATGGCAAATTTGGCAGATGCCAAATTACTGGGGATCCATCAGCACTTCGAACCACTTTAAATAATTTTTATCTTGAGATTTAATGGTCGGCTTAATATTATCTTTCAATATTTTGGAAAATTCTGATGGTTAATGTTCAATTATTTCGCTATTCAATTTTTACGTAAATTCCACGGTTGTTATCAATGAAAAATTGAGAATTGAATTATAGGTTCTTATAATTTAATAATACAATTTAATAATTCTCCGTGAGAAGATGATCTGAATTGAAATTGATGGAATTTGGCACGGAAAATAAAAAAATTGTCGACATCTGCTCGTGCAATTTGTAAAATAAATTTCCCTCTGGCTATCGTCTCACCGCTTCCGCGAGTTCTCGTCCAATCGAAATAATTCAACAAATGTCTGGTGAAAATCATAGACGACAATGGAGTCCTGTGTCAAGTTATGTGTGGAAGTCGCTACCCACGACTATTACTCGACACTCACCTATTTTGCTTTCGCTCTCGGTTGAAACTTCCTCCAGGTGAGTCATTGCGAAAATACTCCCCCGGGTTCGGTTTATTTTTTCATCGACTCGTTACCACGAGGAGAAATTTACAATAAAATTTACAGCAAATTTATGGCACTGGCGATCCGCAAAATCGCCAATTGTGCAAAATCATAAAAAATTCAATTTTCTCGATTTTTCAAAATTAATGTTAAGTTCAAAGAACATTACCACAGACTCAAATAATTGAAAATTCAAAGAAGATATCAACTAGAATTCCAAGAAATTTGTACCAGTGTACCGTAAACGTTGAGAGACCAACAACAAAAGGAAGATCGATGAAGGGAAATATCTAGACAAAATCCTCAGACATCTTCTTCTGGAGTGCATCCGCCTGAATCGTCGACAATACACCCCTATCCCAGGGTGAAATGTCTTTGATTTCTCAGCAGGTACGAAAAACCCAGTGAAACCCGAAGCCTCTCTCAAAAAATCGGTATCGTTCTGCACCATCTCCTTTGTTTCCTTCCCTTTTTCTTATTTCTCCTCATATTTTTTACTCGAGTTTTACTTTCTCGTCGTAATTCGCATATTATATCCAGACCAACGACAGCTGCATGTCCGTTGAAATTTCATCGCGTTGGCCGAGACAAACTAAACAGGGGGGCGTACTTGGGTGAAAGAAAAGGAAAACATGTTGGACGGAATTGAAACTACAATAAATAAAAAAAATTGCAATTGTTGACTCACCGGTCCACTAATCCCACACTCTTGCACTCGGAAAAAATAAATATTTTTATCAAATATCCAATAATTTATGAGAATTATTCATATCGTAATAATCGATGATTCAATAATTTCCACAATCAATTTTTTAAATTTTCGAACTTCTCATGATGATTCAAAATTGTTGGTTTAGATGGAAAAATTAATAAACGCATCAATTTTTTAATACCAAAGACATTAAAATTTTCCTTGATATTAAAAAAAAATGACCGTTTGGAATTGATTTAATTGATATTTCATCTCTGAAATTTCTCAATTCGGCACTTGAAAGTTACAATTTAAATGGTAAAGTGAATTTTGATTTTTTAGGGTGAGACTTCCGTTAGCGAAGGAACGATTAGAATTTCTAATCATTTTAATGTGAGACGGTGTTCGTTTCT